TAGCAAATTACCTTTCGGAAAGTATTTGCCTTTATATATCTTAGTCAAGAGGGAATCAAGTTCAGTAAGAATATGCCATCCGATCTTAGCCAAGAGAGCTTGATTAAAATTCTCAAATCGCCGAAATGCCATCCCCCATCATGTTTACTTGTGCACATATTTCGCCATGAGATCCACCTAACACGAGGGCGGCCCCCTTCCACCCCCACCAGAATCTAGCTGCCTGTTTATCCAGTATACGGCAAAGTGAAAGAGGGAGTTTAAAACATGACATAACATGGAGCGGCAAAGAGAACATGATTGATTTAATCAACGTCTCCTTAGCCGCCCATGAAAGTACCTTCTGCTTTCACCCCTGTAGCCGTTCCAACTTCCAACAGCTTCTCTTCCAAATAACGAAAAGTAGCCATCTTGAATTGAGCAATCAAAGTAGGTAGACCCAAGTATTTATCATGTACTCCGACTGCTCGAACACCAAGCCGGAGGGCAAGGGTGCAATGTATTCTTACTAAAGCACATCGTGGAAAGCACATCCCGGATTTAGCCAAGTTTACCCTTGCCCAATAAGTTCCTCGTATTCATTTAAGACTTCCAGCAGGTTATCACATTCTTGCATCAATCCTCTGAGGAATAAATACGAATCGTCTGCAACAAAAAGATGTGACATACGCGGGGCTCTGGGACTAACCCAGACGCCTCTTAGCTTTCGTTCCTCGATGGCTTTGCGTTTAAGCGCCGCAAAACCCTATGTACAGATGAAAAAGAGGAGAGGAGACAAAGGATCACCTTGTCTAAGTCCCCGCGTCGCCATGAAATAACCAGCTGGTGTACCATTCATAAGCACAGAAAATGAGGAAGACCGCAAACACTCCTCAATCCATTGAACCCAAATCGGATTAAATCCCAATTTTCTTAAAATGGCAAGTAGAAAGTGTCATTCGACTCTATCATTGGCCTTCTCCATATCAACCTTCAGAGTCATATACCCCTTTTATCCTTATATTTAATCTTGATATAATGCATCAATTCATGACCTAAGAGAACATTATCCACTATTTGTCGTTCACGAATGAACGCGTTCTATCTCGCTGAGATTATCATGGGGAGAAACAGAGCCAATCTTTCCAGCATAATTTTGGTAATGATTTTGTAAACGAATTGACATAAGCTTATAGGTCTCAACTGGTGCATATTCTCCACATTATCCACTTTAGAAATTAGCGTTAACCAAGTATGGTTGAAGCTTCGTAACATCCGTCCTGTCCGAAAAAAGGAACAGACAGCTTCCACCACTGGCTCAACAACGATATCCCAAAATGTGTGAAAGAATTTACCAGTGAACTCATCCGATCTCGGTAGGGGTGGGCATTCGGTCGGTTCAGTTTCGACCGAACCGAAATTATGAATACCGGGTCTCCGAATTCTCCCAAACCTCAAACCGAATTATAATTCGGTTCGGTTTTTAACACAAAACCGAATCTATGAGGCTATTTGTATCTTCTCACTTTTAAATTATTTTTCACCCCTACTATAAACAATAATATGCATCATCAATGATAAAATCAAACATTTCAACACATAAGTCGAAATACTATAATTGCAACCTCCAAATGGTGGATTTTTATGTTTGTAGTTGTTTTTATACTTAAATATTTTGGTTTTTCGGTCGGAAATTCGGAATTTTGATTCGGTTGAAAGAACCATGGTTTCCGAAATATCCATATTTTCCTTCCAAATTACGAACCGAATAGCATTATTTCGATTTCGGTTTGATTCAGTTTCAGTTCGGGTTTACCGAACCGTTTGCCCACCCCTAGATCTCAGAGCCTGGGTAGATCCAATCGAAAAAACTGTTTGATGGACTTCTGACGCCAGAACCTCAACAGTCAAAGCCACATTCATCTACTCAGTTACCGTTCGAGCAATAGGAAGATCCGTCACTCAAGCGTCCATATTCTCCACATGATTCTCAGAAGTAAAGAGAAGCTTGAAAAAATCAACAGAAATGTCAGCCTTCCCTTTCTCATCTGTGATCCATTCATCCTCCCCATGTCTCAACCCTGCCACAAAGTTCCTTTTTCTCCTTGCCTTTGTGACAGTGTGGAAATAGGATGTATTGCTATCACCTTTTTTAAGCCACCGGACTCGAGATTTCTGGTACCAATAGATCTCCTCAGCTTCCCACTAGCGGCCTAGCTGTTTCAAGGTCCCGAACCCTATCCCAATCAATAGGGTGCAGATGTTTTACCTGCTCAATCTCAGACTGAAGAGTTTTAATGTTCCGAAGGGAATTAGTTGTGACAGCCCTACTCCAATCATAAAGAAGGTAACAGAGACGTTTTAATTGCGTCCATAGTCTATACGTGGGGGGATCCATGAACCGTGTCATTCCACACAAACACCACCATAACAAGACATCGAGTCGAGCTGGCTCACCAGTCTTGCAAGGTGAACAAGGATTACCTCAAGTTCGACTTGTTGAGTGTCGAGCGAGCTTTTCCCGAACCGAATATCAAACAGCTGGTTAGCATGTTGACTCATTTGCAATCCTACTCGGTCATATATATTACGTTGTAACATTATAGAATAATAATAATAATATACAATGAGTTTACTCGGTTTAGCCCGTTGGTCCGCTCGAGTAAGTGGGTTGAGATTTAATGGTCCAATCGCTTTAGTGAGGATACATGAAAAATGTTTTACATTGTTCATACATTTATAAATCATATCAAATCTCATCTAACATATGAGTAATAATATATAACATTACATAAAATAACATATCGTACTTGGATCCAACATATTGTGAAAATTGTCACACACTTATGTAACATTAATATGTATTCAAATGTTCAACTTATAGAATCCAAAGATAGGGTTGGGAGAAGAGAAAACCGAAAAAGATAAGCATTTCACAAATCAAAGTGTGAAATGACGTTGTATGACCTCCAACCCGATAAACTTGCAGCGGGTCGACTCGACGGGTGCGAGTGGCTCATCTTTATCATTGTGTCATAGTCAAACAGGTCAACCGGCCCGTCGATCCGCTATTGACAACTTTGATCTATTCACAAATTCGTTGCTTATTTGATTTTGGAAAATTGTTATTGTCTGAAATTCATGGGATGAAGAAAATACTCGTTGACGTAGAATGAGTATTATTTGCGTATATAATCCACAAAAGTAATAAATACATGATACATCATTTTGTTCCCCCACAATTAACTCAAATAACCTATCAAACTCATATCACTGGGAATCATTGTAGTTCAGTGTTTCCCTTACCCGATAACTCTATTTAACATGTGTTTATGACTTTTTTCAATGTGAGTTCGGGTCAATTGACACAATAATTTTTTATAATTTGAACGTAAATCTTGACAAATATTAAAATGAATGACTACTACGTTAGCTGTTTCAAACTTAATCCAGAAACTAAAAACCAAACTACCAAAAGTTTATCTACCTTTGATGTAATTAACTCTAATTAAGCTGGTGTGAAATTTCAATTTACTATTCTTCAGCCTCTTTTCACCCATGACCGAAAACAAACAATTTTCTCTCGCCCTTTCCCGCCTTCTTTCCTGTCATTTTTTCGCTCCATGACCATAACGTCTCTGACCCTTTCATGTGTCTTTGTATGAATGTGAAGCTGTGAATGCCCTTCATCGACGGCAACCTTTCTTCTTTTTTTCTGCCTTCTTTGAATTATTACTACTTTTTTCTCTTTTACAAAACAAAACGACGAATTCTACTTGGCTCCCTTTTTTTCTGGTTCTGATTTGGCCCACCTAGCTAGCTATCAAAAGCAAAGAAAGAAAGTCTATTCCTGACCCGATAGTTGTGTACGAGAGATTACTGCTCTTTACTTACTATATTACGCATCACAAAATCTGCATGTGTACATCCTTCCATCCCTTGGCATTTATTACATACTTTCTCTTTTTTGTGGGGCTATCGCTTTAATTCAATGTGGATAATTCAAATAAAAAATTCAAAGATAATTAGCATGAACCCATTTTTAATAGGGATGACAATGGGTCGCGTAGGTGACGGATAGTGCATATCTGATTATATGTTACCTTACTCAAAATAGTTTGGGTTTTATCCATACTCATACCCGCATAAGAAACAGATAAAAAATACAAACCGTGCCCATACTCGTTCAGATTTCGGGTATCCATGGGTAATAGTTTCTCTTTATAACTCCAACCAATATGTTGATATTCACGTTACGTAAGAAGAAAAGTACGACAGTAATTCACTAGAATGAAGAAAATTAATTAAATAATACATTTTCATAAAAATATTATATTTATATGCTAAATATAAAATATGTTAGAGAAAAATATTGTTTATTTCTAGACAAAATACATATGCATGTGTATAATCGGGCGGGTTCGGGTTGGATAGTGAGAAATCCATGTCCACCCATTACCCGCAATATTCGGGTTCGGGTTTTACCCGTAAACACTAAAAGTTCTTGGAGTTCGGGTTTTACCCTACCCAATTAGGTCAGCTTCGAGCAGATATCCACGGTCACAGATATTTTTGCTATCCCTACTTTTTCGAAATTTGAGATGGGTGATTCACACCGCGATTGAACTTGCTCGAAAGGATGACCATGTTATATCACACACATAACTAAAATAATTTAATTATTAACAAAAAAATCCAATCAATCCAATGAAATCTTAAAATGAGTTGCACATTAGTAAAACTCGATTGAATTCGGTTTGATTTGAATCCGACCGTGACTTCACCCACCTAAACTATTATGTTAGAAAAGATTGCATTCATCTTTCTCGTTAGTTTCCCATTTTTAGCCTCTCCTTATTTACCTCAGTAGTCAGTAACTACAAAGTCCCTTCTCCAACCCTTTAATTAAATCTTAGTCATGGTAATCTAACCACAAACTTCTCCAACCCTTTAATTAAATGTTAGTCATGGTAATCTAACCACAAAAGTTGAAACCACAAATGCAAAAAAGATGGCAAAGCGTTATGTTGCCCTCATAAAAAACAGAGAGAAAGAAAACAGAGCAGCAAAAGGTGGGGAAACAAAAGGTCATGCATCTCTTCTGATATAACAACAACACACTCCCCAAACCCCCTTCCCTTGCTTTCATTTCTCCTCCCACCACCACCACCTTCCCCTTCCCTAAAAACTCACAACAAACAAACAAACCACAACGCATTTCCCATCTTCTTCTTCTTCCTTTCTTCATAAAGCTAGCAGCTTTCCATTTCACAGACTACTCTCTGTTTCACCACATTGTTTCTCTGTTTTTTTCCATTTCTTTGGGGTTTTCGCACAATGGCTGTTCAAGCCCAGTCTTACCCAGAGACCGTTGGACCCAGTTTCTTCCCCATGTGCGGGTCCCAGGATTGGTCGCCGCCGGCCAATTTCACCGACGACCAATCCCACCGCCGAATCCCCTGTTTCGGCCTCCCGGAACAGCAACAACTCGCCTTCCAACCGCCGAACAATCTCTTTCTCCACCAACAACAACAAGTTCCCACCTCCCAAACGACGCCCTCTACCTCCACCTCCACCGGCGGCGGGTCTCAATCCGTCCTCCGCTCCCAGCTCGAGTCTCAGCGGCAGGAGCTTGACTCCTTCCTCCAATTCCAGGTAAACAAAAAATTATTCAACTCAAAAGTTCGTCACTTTCCCCCAACTCCAACCTCAATTCGTTAAATTCGAGCTTGGGCTGATCCGATTTCTTGGTTTTAATCGAAGAACGAGAGGCTGAGATTGGCGCTACAAGAACAGAGGAAGCGCCAGCTGGCGGTTGTGTTGAGAGGAGCGGAAGCCAGGGTGGCGGCGATGGTGAGACGGAAGGAAAGCGAATTGACGCAAGCGGCGACCAAACGAGTCGAGCTGGAGGCTCGCCTGAGGAAGGCGGAGGCGGAGAGGGACACGTGGCGGAGGGTGGCGGCGGATACGGAAGCTGCGGCCTTGAATCTGAACCGACAGCTGGAGCACGTCAAGGAGCGAATGATGTGTTCGACGGCAGCGGGGTTTGATGGGAGCGACGGCGACGCGGAGTCGTCGACAAGCGGAGGGGAGCGGTGGTCGTCCTCGCCGGCGGCGAGGGGAGGAGGTTGTCGGAGGTGCGAAACTCGAGGGGCGTGTGTGGTTCTTTTGCCGTGCAGGCATCTGTGCTCGTGCAAGGCTTGCGAGGGGTTTCTTGGGGCTTGTCCCGTTTGTAATTCTGTGAAGGAAGGGAGCTTGGAGGTTTTTTGGGGTTAAAGAGGCGAAGGTAAAAAGATGAGGGGGTAAAGGGGAAGACTATTAAATTTTGGGGGGTTAGAGGATTGGAATTGGGAAGGACAAAGGAGGGCAGAGAGATTTTTTGGGAAGAACACATGTTGGTGGTGGTACATGTCATTATGGGGCTTTTTGTTGGTTTCCAGTCTTTTGTTTCTTGGGTAATTAATTTGTTGAGTACAAAATTGGTACTCCACTTTGTTCAACTTTATTACTAATTTAGTACCTAAAGGGGCTTTCTTAACAATTTTCGTCCACGTGAATTATGGAAATCATGAATCTGAAGTGTATTTGAAACTCATTAGAGCATTTGCTTGTTACTTCTTTTAGGAAATGATAAGATGCCTAGCCTATTAAGGGAGGCCATAACTCCATCATTGATAAATGTATGAGAAGTGAGAACTACGGTATTTTGATTATGAACACGTGAAGTAGTGGTTGGTACTTAGTTACCTTCTTTATAAATTCCATATGAAATCGTTATACGGTATTTGTAATTTTATAATTAAGTTTACATGGTATTTGGCAACACGCTACACTCATGTTAATCAAATTCAACTTGCAAAGTGCGGATATTTCTGCTTCTTTTTTCTTATTATTTTTAATCGGGATGATTTGGTGGAGGATTGAATGCTCAATTTGCTTGATGAAGCTATGATAACGTAACTAGTAGACCTTACGAGCTTCTTCAACTATAGTTATACTTTTAATTGAATGGATACATAGGAATATATGAATAAACAAATATTTACGTTACGACACTTTTTTGTATATGAAAAATGATTTACAAAATGACATTCTAACATATTGTTCATTGTCAAAGAAGATTCAAAGAGCCCAACCACAACATAGTTTGTCTAGTATGAATATGACCGAACAAGTAGACACAATTCACCAAATAATCAACTGTACAATGAGCACTTCTACTATGCTATATAGTATTGGTGCTTTAATGTACAACTTAAAGTTGTACCATAACATTAAATGTATAAGTTTAGGTTGTACCATAAAACAATTTGTAACATTATGTTATGGTACAACTTTACAACTTGAAGTTGTACCATCACATAAAGGTACAAGTTCAAGTTGTACCATACAAGAATTTGTACAAAAAGTATAGGTACAATCTGAAGTTGTACCATAACGTAAATGTACAATTTTAAGTTGTACCATAAAGGCAAAAACCTATAGCACCAATACTATATAGCATTGTAAAATTTCTCCTGTACAATTGCCTAGTATGAACATGACCGAACAAGTAGACACAATTAATAATCAACTACACAATCGCTCTTGCTATAGAGGCGTGGTCCATGGTTATCTCCCAATCTCTCATCTCATGGCCAAGTTTTCTTGTTCCAAATGTTTGGGGACGGACTAAAATGTTTGAATGAAATAGTTGTAAAACTAAATTACAAATAGGGTTTTTCTTTTTGGGATTTGGGATTGGGATTTGTACATTTATTTATTTTTTAGGGGTCACACGAGGACCCATAAAATTGGGCTGCCGTGGGAAGGGAAGAGAGGTAAAAACCGTGAAAGGTGAGGTGAAATGATGTTCGGAGTGGTACAAGTCGGAAGCAGAAGAAAGTAAAATAGTCCTCCTGACTTTTTACTATTCCTAGGTGAAATAAATTTTACCTTATTTAGCTTTCTTTTTTCTTTAACCCTTTTGTATCATTTGTCGAAAGAATTACCCAATTTTATTATAATTTTTGGATTTTTTTGGGATGAGTTGACATGGTTCCGTTTTGTTTCACCAAGAAAGAAAGAGTTGGCAGTGAGGCTTAATTTTGTGCTTTTACCCAGCCCTAAATAATGGGACTCACTCTGACTGACAAAAGATTTCTCCTTTATAAACTAGGGCTTTTTGACACGCATCAGTTGAAAGAAGACAAACCACGATTGAAATTTGAAACTGTCACCGCCATTCCATTGCATTGCGCTTCTTGGTGTGATCATCCTAGTAGTGATCGCATTCATCGTTTCCCCTCAGATGTCGCTAGCGTTTTCATGATTTTTGCAGCCTTGTCGATCATCTAATTTGGGTTGCTTTGTCTCTTCCGAATGTCGTGGTGGGGGTTCTTGACTCTTTGAGTTTGGGGTTCTACTTTGGGTTGATCTGTTTTTGTGTTTGTGGGTGGTTGGGGTTGGTGGGTGTTGCTTCTTTGGTTGTTTTCTGGGTTTGGGGTGGTCTCTTTTGGCTTTGTGTTTCTGCAGGTGCGGATCTTGTTGGTGGTCTCTTTTCTTGTGGTTTTTTGTGGGCTCTTCTCAACCCTTGGTGCAATCTTACTCTGTTTTGTCATGATTTCCTCTGCTGCCGACTCCCTTGCCTTTGTTTCAGCTCCGAGAAATCTCGTACAGTCCTGTCCACCGCCATGTAATCTCTTCGGTGGTTCACTGTGATGGGTCGTCTTCGAACAACTCCCAGGAGGCGGCATATGGTGTTGCAATGTTCAATTGCCATGGTCAAGCCTGTATTGGACGAGCTGAAGCTGTTTCTTTGAGCTTTTCTGATGAATGAGGAAGCATTGAGTTGGTTTGGATGCTCTGTTTTATGGTTCAAGAAAGGAATGTCTTTGGCTGGTTGGATCTTGTTTTGCTTTCCTCTGTCCCGATCTTTTCCTTCGTTGTCTTGGCGAGCTCCGCTGGCTGTTTGTTGCTGTTCTTTCTTGTTTCCATTTCTCTGGATGTTCTCCACTCATTGTAACCGATTTCATTTGATGAGCAATATAAGTGTTCCTATTGTCAAAAAAAAAAAAAACATTGCGCTGCACCTTGTCCTTGGCATGTTTTCGGTCTTTAGAGCATCTCCAGCGCGCGGAAAGTTTGGTACTGGTATTTGAAATGTATCGAATATCGTATCGAATATGTATGTATTTTGTATTATCGAATACACGTATCATTTTGTGAGATTGAGATTGAGATTGAATTTCAATTGTTATTCGGTATTAGGGATTAAGGGATTGAGATTGGTATACACCGAAATACTGATCAATATCAAAATATAAGCTAGTATGTATTTTATCCTCTCAACTAGACTATCTCATTCACTACTACACGACCCTGAACCACCAAAAGTGTCATTTAATTATACATAGATCATTACATCACTATTTCACACTAGTATTAGTCGTCTCTCAACCTCAAATTCGTAAAATTAAAGATTACCAATTACAAGAACGTGAGATGTTAGCTCTAGGCAACTCAAGACTATTTGCTTAGTCTCTTTGCCCTAAATTAAACAATAAAATCTCATTTATATATTTAATTATTAATTGCAAAGATAATTAATTATGTATTCGATAATACCGATTGGGATACCGAAATTATTTAGGGATTGGGATCGGGATACCGAAATTATTTAGGATTGAGATTGATTTTAGTGTGTAATTCGGTATTCGGGATTTCCGTATTTGTTATTGGGATACCGATACCGTACCGATTTCCACCCCTATCTCCAATGGTGCAAATGGAGGGAGTTGCAAGCTGAAGTGGCAGTCATGTGCAATTGAAAAAGTGGATGACATTGATGAAAGACCACTTTCAAGGGATGAAAATATGTACACCATGAAAATCTTACATGCAATTGCAAGTGGTTCTTTTATTCGTTTTTATTTTTCTTTCTTCTTTTCCCAACCATTTGTGTGGTATTATAATGTAAGTGGGTCCCAGAAGTGCAATTGCATTGGAATGACATTGATGTAGCTAGTATGAAATTGATGAGTGAAGTAATTGCTAGAATTGCTTAGGTGGCAGTACGGACCACACTTGAAAGTGAAGAAAGATTGCATGGGTTAAAGACACATTTGGTCACTGAGATTACAAAATCGGGACATGTTTAGTCACTAGAAAAATTTAATATCAAATTTGGTCACTACAATTACTAAAACTGGACGCATTTAGTCACTCGCCGTTAGTCTCCGTCCAACTCCGTTAATGAAGTCCGTTAAGTGCTGATGTGGCAAACAGAATTGCCTAATCAGCCGGATATTAACCCAACAAAAATAAAACCCAACCCGCCACGTCATTATAACCCGCCACCTCATTAAAACCAACCCAACCCAACCCATCACCCAACCCTACCCAACCCTTCTTCCTCCTTCCTCCCCAACCCAATTTAGGGTTTTCCCCATTAATCTGTCGGCCGCCCTTCCTTCATCTTCTTGAGGAATGTGGCGGTGCCGGCTCGGAGCTCGGTGGTGAAGCAAGTGTTCCGCTCATCGAGTTTGAATTGCTTCCCGACTCTGCTTCCGGCCACGTAGTTGTTCAGTCGAGTTAAAATGGCCGACTCTGCTGCAATGGCGGAAACCCCCAGATCGCAGCAGACGGCCTTGTCGCAGGTGGCCGACGCGTTCGAGGAGCTGGCTTGGGGGTTAGGGTTTGGGATTTGGTTGTGGTGGGTGATTTGGAGGTGGTTTTGTTTTTGGGGGAAGTTGATTGCTTGATTGATGGATCTGAAACTAGGGTTTTTATTTTGGTGGGTGTGGGAGTGGAAGTGGAATTGAGCTGCTGCTTCTTGTCTTTCTTCTTGAGGAGCTGAGCAGTATCAGTTGTGGAATTGGTGGGCTTCTTCTTCGTGGTGAGTAGAGAATCGCTACTGCTGCTGGCCTTGGACTTGGTGGGTGATGTTGATTTAGTAGAGTTGGAGGATTTGGTGGTAATAAGTTTGGTCTGGTTCTTCTTACCACTCGAAGAAGAAGAAGACAGAGTATCTCCGATAGCAGCAGAGTTGGTAGTAGTCTTCTTGGTGAATTTCATGGTCTGATTCTTGTTAGCAGAGGGAATGGTAGATTTAGAAAGCTTGGTGCTTGGTGTTGCTTGTGATGATGATAGGCTGCTGCTGCTCTTTTTCTTGGGCAGTTGTGGTTGCTCATCGGTCATCGCTGTCTAAGGAAGAGGCAGAGAGGAAGAGGGGGGAGGTGAACAAGAAGAAGAAGAAGGAGAGCAAGAGTAGCTTCCTGAATCTTCACCACCGAGCTCCGAGCCGGCACCGCCACATTCCTCAAGAAGATGAAGGAAGGGCGGCCGGCAGATTAATGGGGAAAACCCTAAATTGGGTTGGGGAGGAAGGAGGAAGAAGGGTTGGGTAGGGTTGGGTGATGGGTTGGGTTGGTTTTAATGAGGTGGCGGGTTATAATGACGTGGCGGGTCGGGTTTTATTTTTGTTGGGTTAATATCCGGCTGATTAGGCAATTCTGTTTGCCAAATCAGCACTTAACGGACTTCATTAACGGAGTTGGACGGAGACTAACGGCGAGTGACTAAAT